CAAGGAAAATTAGGCCTATCAAACGGGGCCTTATATTTATATCTTGCTGTCTCTATGTATGTATTTCCCCTTTTTTACATTACCGTTGCCAGTGGAGGATGAGGAAAAAGAATAGGACGACTGACAGTGACTAGGATGGTGGGAGAATCAAGTATGCTGACAATTTTATGGAAAACTGTCTTTTTATAGTTCTAGTAATGCATAATTAATTTTATTTTGTGATTGATGTATTACCTGCCACTTTATTGATCCATGTTATGCTTGTTTTCAAGTTGGAAAATTATGTCGTGTGGATTTTCAAGATGGTTTATTACTTATTACGAGTATTTGTTTGTGTTGAGGCTTATGCGTCAAAATGAATCATGACTTGCGCCTCTCCTCGTACGAGATTGTGCCTGTTTAAACATTACATTGAATATTAGAGTTTTCCCGCAGTACATCACCAGACCCTAGTACTGTATAACTTAGCACCTAATAGTCTCACACTTCCCATTAAAGCTACCAAGTCATTCTCTTCTTGTTTAGGATGTGTTCATTCACAAAGCAGCCATGGGATAAATTGCTTGCTTAATTCTTCAAATCTTAACGGCAATGATATATCACTCAAGCTTCAGTACACTAGCACTACTATCCCCCCACTTATCTCCAGCTGAAAAGCTATAACACAGAGCATTTGATGGAGGAAATATTAAATATTTATAAACACTCTTCAATTACTCAAGGAGTTCGAAATGGACAATTCTGAATAATTACATTATATTATCATGGTCAGAGATGGATGAATCAATTGATGCATAGCACACTGTAACTGGATGGTTCTAACCATCAACAAAAAAATAGGAGCTTGGGGAATCTCGTCATACAACAGTTGTGCATTCTACAAAAACAGAATTGCTTCTACATTTGAATATTAACCTACCCCACGCTAAAATTAATTAGCAGAATTGGAAAGCATAATAATTACCACAAAAGCAATAAAATTTACATTATACAGGCTTCACAAATCCATAATATTAATCAAATTTCAGTTCACAAAAGGTCTCAAAACTGTAAACAACTTCCTTAAATCCAAAATTCTACTCACATACTCCTACTGTGACATATCCATAACTCTAAACTTTCAATTATCAAACGTCTTTTTATGTATTCTTGTTTGTAACCATTCTAATTGAGTAAAACAAGTGAGGGTGAGAAAGTTCAACAATATATAGCATTTACCTAGATGCTTCACTGTAGGTTGTCCGGTGCTTCATTACCATCCTGAATATGATTGGTTTCTTCAAGTTTTGAGTTTTTCGCAAGGCGGTACAGGGCATCAGGAAGGCAAATTCTGGTATTCTCTGTCAACTAGCAAGATAAGATTGAGAAAATAAGTTGTGAGCATCTCATATTTTAGCGACATGGTTTAGTACTTCTAGATATCTTGCTTTCTCACCTGCACAGTCAAGCTTCTAAGCTCCAAATATACAGATTCCACCGAGGATGTTTCCTCCTCTGTGACGTGCTTATCTTCACCGTTGTGCTCCAATGAGAAGGGGATGTCAACCTCCATTGCCTTTAATAAAAATTGTCAAGATTAAAACAAATCAGGCCTTGAAACGAAAATCATGAATATGACAAAAGTTTTAAACTACACGGTTATCTTGATATCCACTAGAATTAGCATCTACCATAACATATCCGGAAACCAGACTACCAGAGTTCTTCTCACCAATTGTGATTCCAGAACCAACACTAGGTTACTTAGCTCTTATACCGTGTTCTCCAAAAGATCTCTTGTACTTAGTTGCTTACACATTTATGAAAGAATGATCACCTTTGCCAGCGAAAAGGGATCATTGTACGCTTCATTCTTGCAGTCTGGTGAGACAGAAAAAGCATTTTCTTTTAGATCCTTCGAGTGTCCCGTATTGTCTATATGTTCTTGAACAGTCTTAGACTCTAAAATTAGATCCCTTGAAAGATTGGATGGCATCACATTGTCATTGCTGGATGTTGGTGAAAAATTAACTGAACCAGGAGCATGGATTCCACTTCCATCCTCTTCAAGTAATGAATGCCTGCATAATAATTAGTAGAAGAGTTGACTTCAGAAGTATAATTTATACAAAAATGATAAAACAGTTTTAACATAAAAATGTGTTTTAATAATCTCTGATATGGTATGCCATGAAAATTGTTTTAGATGTGACTGAAGCCAAAAGAAATGTAAAATTAGAAATTTTTTAGTGCAATGACTTCGTTTTGAAGTGTCCATACAAAATGGCCGGCTCAAGCCATCACTGCTGTACTTTTTCTAGTAAGTATAATAGTGCGGTATCTAATCACATCACTTTTACAATTCCAGTGATAGGATAGAACAGTAGAAGAGCCAGAGCTTCAAGCAATCGACGATTAGACAATCAACTTAAAATTTTTGTCTACCAACAAATCACTGAGGCTACTGTTCCTAAATAACAGCTTACCTTTAGCATGAAACTTTGAAATATTTAATAAAGCATTAGATGCACACGCATGATACATGAAATCAAGTATCTTAAGCCCAGATGCTACGCTTGTACACGAAAATGTCATCAGCCTCATCAAATCTGGCAGAGTCATTGAGTTTAAAATCCAATTGTTCGCGAGGATAAGCGCTCCATTGACAAAAATCATCATGCAAACCTATACAGACACTTGAACTACAAAGCTGGTCAACTTCACTGGAAAAAGTGATCCCACTCAATAGAAGTTCTTCCATTCCTGCAATACTGCATTTCTTAGGGGAATTGAAGCTTCAAACGTTGCGTTCTCCCAAGGAGACAAACTATATGGTGATGGGAGCATGTCAGACCTCCTTATCATTTGGTACGATAAAATCTTCAATATCACTTCCAAAGTACCGATCATTGAATTTGCCCAAACCATAGTATCACCTACACACAAGAAGACTGAGAACAGTTCAGTGCATTGAAACAGTTGTGTTATGCACCACCTTATTAAAATCTGTCATAAAGGCCTATATCACTCTATCATGTGACTCAGTTGACACCCTTATGCTACCCAAGAGACATTTATTTAGCATTCTTCTATTATTACGATTGCTATTCTTGTCCTTTCCTCTCATATTAATTATTAAAGATAGTAATATAGAGTTTCTCTTTTCAGAATGGAAAATAGTATCTAATCCCTTACCTTTAAATCAGGGACGGATCCAGGACCAGATTACAGACTGAGCTAATACGTAAAATAAAAATTACATATGATTTTTTTTTCTAACTAAAAAAAAAAATTAATTGGGTGAGGGAGGTGTCCCCCCCCACCATCCGTCCCTGCTTTCAATCCCTCTCAAAATAAACATCTGCTTGACTTTTTCTTATCATCATAATGATTTATACAAGTCATATTAATCTATCCAATCTTTCAACTCCAAAAACTTCCCAAATTAGCATTCCCTGTCACTCAAAAAAAGTGTTTTTGTTGGATATGGGCTGCCTCTCTATTCTAATCTATTGGGCCTCTCCTGTTTTGTTAGCCCTTATTCTGCGTGTTACTTGGACCTAACCGGTTTGTTGATTAAATGATGGTGAAATCTTGGCCTTACACTTGGGATGATTTGGACTGTTGGATTGAATAGTGGAAGGGTTACCTTATAACCCGTTCTCTGGATTCTTCGATTGGCACTGTTTTGTTTTTTAGGGTTATCTCTTTGTTTTCTCTCTCGAACGTCTCTATGTGGTTTTCTGTTCTTGAGGTCTTGTGTAATATCTGAGTGATATTCTTGAGTGTATTGTGTATACACCATGGTAGTAGAGTGAAAACTTATATATGAGAGGCTCGAGAAAAAAGTGAAGAAATACATTGTATAATTTGAACTTTGTGATTTTCTTAGTGGATTCGAACCAAATCTACTTGGTAGATGTTCAACGGATGATTAGACTTTATAACTGAACATCCAGGCCCCAAAGGGGGCGAAAAACTCATTCATGTTCTATTTTCTGTTTTTTGCGATTTCTTGCGATTTATGTTTATGTTACAAACATTGATTCTGGACAGACAGTTTTGCTATGTGTACGCACCCCTGGTGTACAGCCCCCTCACCCATGGACCCCTCTATTGTGAGGAGGCTGTACACCAGGGGTGTCTGGAGACAATTTGATCATTGAGAAATTATAGTCAAACATTGGTTTACGACAAAGGCTTGAATGTTTGCATTGCCAATGAAATTGAACAAATTTATTTACACGCTGTACATGGCAACATGATAAGCAATTAAATGCAAATTGCATCTTCTGAAATTAACAATGCAAATTACATGCACTATACAATTCTTTTCAACTGAATTCCAAATGCACAGAATGACAGAAACAACTGGAATTCAATACTTGTAAGAAAATTTTTGTAAACCAAACGCCGAAGATGGTTTAGAGCTCAAAGCAGAGTTGAACAAGGAGATGTTGGTTTTGGGAGCTCATGGCAGACAAAGATGGTAACAGGGATCTCCAGAAAGATGGAGAATTTTAATTTTGGGTTTCAGACGACTGATGATTATGGTTGTGTGAGTCAAGGGGTGGAAGGATGAAGGAGATATTTGGATTTTCATGCAAGGAAAAAAGAAAGAGGGTAAAAGTTGTGAGTGATAAGGAGAGTGATGAGGAGTTTGGTGAAAAGTTCTCTCTCTCTTTTTTTTTTATCCATTTAGTATGAGAAAATCAATATTTTCATCCTTAATTTCTACTAGAAATTGAACAGAATCAGATCAATATGTATCAAATAGTTCATTAAGGATCAAACCAATATGTATCTGTTAGGGAATTATTGAGAGCAATTACCCAAGGCCCAAACCCACACCACCAGGCCCAAG